CTTATTTCTTACCACTGTCAGAAACTTGGTCTCTTTGCCCCTCCTCTTGCTTTGTCCTTCTCAGCTCAGTACCTTCTTTCTTCTGCCCCTGTCTTTGGTCTCGTGCCAGCCCCTTCCACCTTGTCCCTCCCTTCTCTGCATCCCCTCTTCCTCTGTCTCACCCCATCAAGTTCCTCAACTCTCTCTTCATGCGTTGGGAGGCTACCCCTGCCTTTCCCTCTCGTAAGTTGTAAGCACGTGGCTCGTTGGCCTCCCTCAGAGTCTTGCTAACTCGGCTGACTGCCTGAAAACACTGAGTGGGAACCTGCACAAAGGCTTGCTGGGATTGGCTCCTCCCTAATGAACTAACGCGAGTAGTGAGTAACTCTTAGGTGATAGAGGAAACATACAAGCAAGCAAATGAAAACGACCCGTGTTGCTTGCCTAAGTATGTGCACTTGGTTACCGTTGCCTGGCAACGGTTGGTTTTATTTCGTCAGTTCTCTGATTTGGCGCTATTCGCCTCTGCTTAACTTCGCTTGAAAACTACTCACTACTGTATCTTGTCATGCATTTATATTGCTAGGCCCTGCTCTCTATTCTTCAATTAAATGTATGACAGCTGTCAAAAACTTGGTCTCTTTGCCCCTCCTCTTGCTTTGTCCTTCCCAGCTCAGTACCTTCTTTCTTCTGCCCCTGTCTTTGGTCTTGTGCCAGCCCCTTCCACCTTGTCCCTCCCTTCTCTGCATCCCCTCTTCCTCTGTCTCACCCCATCAAGTTCCTCAACTCTCTCTTCATGCGTTGGGAGGCTACCCCTGCCTTTCCCTCTTGCCCTCTCCTTGGCGCTAACTCCTGCTCTGGTAGGTATCGCCGATGGACCTCTTTGGTGAAAGGCTCTTCTCTTGTCTGCTCCTTCTGCTTGAGAGGGTCCGGGGGTACTCGCTGGGGCCATGCCTTAGCTACATTCGTCTAATGATCCCTCTTCTCTTGCCCCTTGTCCCCCACTAGTACAACCACTCCGGACTCCTTAACCTCTTTCACTTTCCACCTCTCAGTGCTGAGCCCTATATCCAGCATATCTTGCCTGGCCTACTTAACATATACTTCTTCCCCCACCCCCAACGGTGCCCCCTTCGCCCCCGCCTGCTCTTCTCTCCTTCGTTTGTAGCGCTGTGCGTCTCTGAGCTGGGCCACATGCAGGTTCTCTAACGCTGCTGGTAGCATCTCCCGTAGATACCTTGCCCTAACCTCGGCCAGCCCCACCCAGGCGTCTTCCGAGCTCACTGAGACCACATCTGTCAGTACCCGTGGCGCGTCTATGGGCAAGATAGGTTCCCTTCCCAGCAGCAGGTAGTACTGCGAGAAGTCCTTTAGCGCGGCCTGCTTACTGAAGCGGTAGCCTGCGACTACCCACGGGAGTCTCAGGTCCCAGTCCTTCTTGAATTGTTCCCCGTAAGCTCTCAGCCCTCTCTTCACCGTCTGCACAAACCGCTCTGTGAGCCCGTCACTCTGGGGGTGATACCTGGAGGTCCGCCGATGCGTAATACTGCTAGCTTTCAGTAGCTTCTCGAATTCTCCCAAGAATTTTGTGCCCTGATCTGTCAATACTTCCCCACATGCTCCGAACCGAGTCAACACCTGTTCCTCAAATGCCTCTGCTATCCGGGCCGAGCTCTTGCTCGGCAGCGATTCACCTCCACCCACTTACTGCCGTGCTTGATCATGATGAGTATGAACCGCTTCCCCCTTCGGCTGAGCGGCATTTCTCCGGCCATATCTAATGACCACCGAAACCCTAGGCCTCTGATGGGCAGCGAGTGCAGCTCTTCCCTCCCTCTCTCCATCTCTGCTTTGTTCCTGCTGCATAGTTCACAAGAGCCCACCCACTCTTTAATGTCTCCTCTCATTCCTGCCCACCACCAGCCCGTCTCTATTAGCTGGCTCGTCCTTAGGCTGCCATAGTGCCCCAGCTGCCGGTGCACCCTCGCTATGATCTCTTCCCGTTCCTCTCGCCTCAGGACCAGCTTCCATCCTTCTTTAGTGTTTTTCTGGAGCTGGTCCCGGAACCACCGGTAATGCAGGCCCCTGGCTCTGGCCCTCTCGCTTGCAGGTTTTGCTTTTGAGGTCTTTCCTTGGATCCACCCCAGCGTCTCTTCATCCTCCCAGACGTCTTTGGCTCCTTTATGAGCTTTCCGTTGGGCTCCTTCCCCGTCGATTTCTCTCGCCAAAGCCACGAGGCACGCCTCTGGGCTTGAAGGTGGCGGGTTACATGATAGCCCGTCCACGTGTTGCAATGTCTTCCCCGCTCGGTGTCGAATGGTGAACTCGTATTCCTGCAGACGCATGGCCCATCGCGCGTTCCGGCCGGTCAGGGCCTGATTGGTCATCAGCCACGTCAGCGGCTGATGATCTGTGATTAACACGAACGGTCTCCCCTGTAGGTATACCCTGAAGTGGGTGATAGCCCAGACCGCCGCGAGCCCTTCCCCTTCGTATGAGCTATAATTGGCTTCTGCAGGGTTACAGCTTCGGCTCGCAAATGCCACCGCCATCTCCTGTCCGTCCCTCTCCTGGCATAGAATTCCCCCCATGCCTGCACTGCTCCAGTCGGTGTAGAGTACGAACGGGTCTTCCTTACTGGGCAATGTAAGGACGGTCCCTGTCTTCACCGCTTTAAGGAGGGCTTTGAATGCCCCCTGCTCTTCCTCTCCCCATTGCCACACCTGGTCCTCTCGCAGCAACCTGTTCAGTACTGCGGCAGTACGGCTGAAGTTGGGTACGAACTTCCTGTAGTAGTTAAGGAAGCCCAGTACTGCCCTCAGAGTACTGCGGTCCTTAGGGGCGGGGACTCGATCCAGCACCTCCACTTTCGCTTGCTGGATGCTCAGCTGCCCCCCTTGTACTTCGAAGCCCAAATACTTCACTGTGCTGTTCCCGAAACTGCATTTCTTAGGGTGGCAAGTCAGCCCTGCTGATTGAATGGCGTCCAGTGTGTCGCTCACGTCCTTCACGTGCTGCTCTGCGGATGCACTGAACACGACTATATCGTCGATGTAGCAGGCTGCCGCCGGCACGTGCCTCAGCACTGAGTCCATCACCCGCTGGAATAGTGCTGGCGCGTTCTTCATGCCAAAGGGCATGAACTTCCACTCATACAGCCCCTCGGGTCCATGGAAGGCCGTTTTCCTCCGGTCCTCCTCCTTGATCGGTATTTGATTAAATCCCTGTCGGAGGTCCAGTGTGCTAAACACAACTGCTCCTTGCAGCTGATCGAATATCTCTTCCGCCGATTGCATGGGGTACCTGTCCGCCACTGTCACTTTATTAAGTCCTCGGTAGTCCCCACACATTCTCCTGGCTGATACCTCTCCCGTGAGATCCTTCCACGCTGCTACCACCGTCGCCGCTGCGTAATCACTGTCAGAAACCTGGATAAGGCCCGCTGCTAACAGCTCCGCGCACTTCTCCCGGCAGGTGTCCAAGTCTCCTGGACTCATTCTCCGTTTTCGTACGTATATAGGCATCTCTGTGTTCAGCTTCACCTGCATTTGATGCGATTTGCATTGCCCCAGTTCGGATAAGGTGTATGCAAACGTCTTGCTGTGCCGCTTCAGTACCTCCTGTAATGCCTGTGCTGCCTCTGCCCCCATTCTGGCGCCTATGGGCCAGGCATCCTCGGGTCCCCTCTCCTGACTTGGCTTTTCCGTCTCAGTCTCCCCGTCTGGTGGCACTACTCCTTGGTCTGTAGACTTACTCCCTGCTTCCACGGCCATGCAGGCCCATCCTTCCAAGATGCGCGCTTCCTGTTGCTCCTCTATGGCTCTCAGTTGGCGTTTTCGCTCCTCTGTCTCCTCCTCCTCCCGGTACATCTCACTGACTTCAATACCCCGTTGGAGCTCTTTCCTCTTTAGATGCATGCGAATAGTCTCCACCAGCCACGCCATGACGTTCAGGTCCATAGCTCTACCCAGCGCTGCCCTCCTTTGCGGCTCCGTCACTCGGGGGTGGGCAGTAGCTCCCAGCAGATGACCCATGGCTAACTCCCGCTCTTCGGCCGTTGGTTGCTCCCATTGTTTCCCGATGACATCATAGATCATTCCGGGCCCGGGCAAGTCTCCCTCCATCACGAATCCGTAGGCGTCCACGTAGGACACGAGTGTCGGCAGCGCCTGTCTCGGCTTCCCAGGCACATTACACTGGTACTGGGACGCGTGGTCTGGCACCGTGACTGGCGCTGGCAGTCGGTTGGGGCCCAGAATGTCACTCACCAGTCTCGGTTCCGGCCGCTGCATCTGAGCCAGAGAGTGGCGCAGAAGTGCTTCGGAGATCCCATTCTGCCAGTATCTCCTGGGCCGGTGCGCTCTGGACCCCAGCTGCGCCGCGTCTACCGCTTGCCCCCTTCCAACAGCGGCTTCTACTTCGGCGAACGCCCGGTGCACGGGCTCTCTGCGGTCGTCAGCAAAGTCCACGTTCTCCAGGATGTAGAGCACTTCCCCCTGCTTCTCCTGAACCATCTCCATCACCCGCTTTAAATCCCTGAAGGAGGCCCCCCGTATGTCGGCCATTCCCATTCCTAGTCCGGCCCGAGAATAACCCTGACATTCCCATCCCGCCACAATAATGTCAATCTGCCCCCACTTCTCCAGTGTCTCCTCCGAGATATCCCTAACATCGTCCACCCCCTCCTCATATTCAGCGGGTAGGGCAGACTCGGCCAGCTGGTCGGGATATTCGGCTAGCAGCTGCCGGGCGTGATGTTGCGCCATCCGGCGCACCACCGGATCTCTTTCGACGTGAATCCACTTCCTCACCCTGCAGCCAGCACGCAACACCGCCGCCAGTCCGGTGCCGATGCCGCCGTACAGCTCCATGATGCACACTGCTCCTTCTAATGTCCAGAGCCTGGTCACTCTTTCTTTCAGCGAGGTCGGTTCCCGCCCCTGCCTCCTCCTCTCTATTCGCCGTTCGTACTCCTCCGCGTATCTCTCCCAGCTCCAGTCGTCCAGCACCGGTCCCAGGTCAGCAGCCCGTGCCCCGTATGCCTCCCGAGGCTCTTGCTTAACGAACTTTATGGGCAAAGTACCCACGGAACTGGCAGCGTCCCAGTAGTGCACGCGGTACAGCACTTTCTCTTGCCAAGTACAGATGGTGGCGCCAGCTCGGTAAAGCAAATCCATGCCCACCAACGCATCATAATCCTCAGACTCTGACACGCCACAAGTCACGCGGATACCGCATTCCTTGTCGGTGCCGGGACGCAGTACTATCTCGATGGGCCTTGCTGTCCGCGGCATCCATTTTGGCTCTCCTCCCTCGGCGGTCATGAGCAGGATGCCCCTCGGCACGAGCCTCCCGGGCAAGTCGAACTTCAGTTGCCTAGCTAGCCCCTTCCCGATCAACACGTGGTGAGCCCCGGTGTCGATGATCGCTTGCCCCACTGGCAACCCACCCACCGTCAGGCTCCCCTTTTCGGCTATCAGGACAGAGGCCTGGCACACCAGTCTCTCGTTAGGGTGGCGCCTCAGTTCGGAGGTACTGCTTCCCTCATGCACGTTGCCGCGTGGCTCACGTACTCTGCTCGTACGGCTTTCGGACGACTGGCTTCCCCGAATCCGAAGGTCGAGGTCCTCTCTCTCCCTTGGGAACGCCATGAAGCCGCTTGCTCGCAGATACTCGCCCTCACTCTCTTCCTCCCCTTTGATCTCCTCGTACGCCAGCATGGCTCTGGCTTTCTGCTCCACTTTAGGCTTTGCCTCCAGTCGCAGTTGTAACCGTTTAATCTCCGCCTGTAACTCCTCTTTACTAGGAGTCTCCTCAGAGCGGCGCCGTCTGTAGCAAGCGTCCTCCTT